CACGACAGCAAGAGCATCTCTCTGCCAGTGCTGAGGGCTTTGGTTGTTACGAACAGTGACAACCTGCTGGGTAGGAGGAACATGACGAGACTTCCTCTGCATGCAGGGGGCAGGCCCTGTGACATTCTTTAGGGTTTGATAGAACCATCCTAGGTTTTCTCATCACTGGCAGGCACTGAGGAGGACTGTAAGCACACGGCCCAAAAGTAAAACCCGTCACATCAACTGCATCTGCCAAACACTGCATCTGATTCCACGGCAACGCCAAGGGTGAACGGGCTACTACAGCAATTGTTTAGACCCAGAACCGAAAATCACAGTTCGTAACTATGCACAAGTCATTCTCGTCACCGGCTGAAAAGCAAATGCCTTCTGATCTTGACACAGAGTAATTACCACGGGTCATGCTGAGCTGATGTATTATTAAGAGAAAATCAGGCTACTTCAGGAACCCAAATATTTTCTGAGTGTAAATTGTTGTTTAATACATTAGAGGTCTACAGATAAAACGGTAGAAAGTTGATCTTTTAAAATCAACTGTTTTCAAGTTCACATACTGCTCTTTTTCACACGTTTCCTAAAAATGTCACGTTGAATAATTCTAATCAACAGAGCCAGAGTCTCAAGATCACACAGGAATATGCAAGATACAGCAGGCATGCTGATGGCTCACCTTCATGAGTACTATGAACTGTGTTTTTAAGGAGAGGAAGAAGGGAGGGAACAAAGAAAGGAAGGGGAATGGGTTTGTGTAGACTCATCCACACTCAGTTTCCTAATCCTCTTGAAGTCAGCAATGCATATGCATAAGGTCACTAGCTGGGCTCATACATGCTCATGGGTACAGCTGGGCCCCAAATCTGAGGGAAGCACGCCAATGAAATGCACCATCAAGAAATGAACATGTTCTTTGCCTGGGATCCATGGCCAGGCTCCATGGAGTTATAAAATCCTGGAATTTATACTTAGAAGTTTGTGTATGTGATATTATGTGCAATTTTATAGGGAGAGTCTTTATAACTTTTAGAAGATTCCAAAGAGATGCCAAGGCCCAACAGAGTTTAAGAAGCCTTGCATTAGGAAAACTAGCCAGATACAAATGGCCTTGTACTGTGAGACATTCTTTATTTAATATTCAGGGTTCTCTCTTAGAGAGCAAAAGACTCCTAGGTCACTAGCTGGGGTCTTATGTCCTCCTAAAGTAAAATTTAAGTTCCTGTTTTTGCCTGTAGAAGGTGCTATTATTGCAGATACTTTAAAAATGTATTTACTTTTTCTGCTTCTTACAAATAAACTGAAATGCAAGGTGGAAAGCATGTCTTAAAATCTGATGGTACCTGTATTTGGTACTATACTCAGAAACTTCCCCACAGGCCAACTTTTAATCCAGATACTTTCTTCCCTAGATACAGTGAAACACTAGAGTTTAAAATCACAATCTTGCTCTGCAGCAAATGCTCATTTTCTTAAAGCTGCAAAGTTAGGCAAATGCCAACACTTCAAACAGGGTTACAGGTTCCAATGGAATTATGGTTAGATGGCAGGGGGATAAATAATGAGGCAGAAATAAACAAGGCGGCTCCCATTGGTTCATAGTATTTTTACTCTTCGAAAGGAAAAGCAAAAGTAAATCAAACAGAGATCATAAGCTCCTTTAAACTTTCATTGCTCTCCCGACAACATCTCTCTTGCTCACCTCCAGATGTAGCAGGTGCCGTGCTCTCCCACGTGCCAGCACAGGGACATGATGCCAAGTGCCCCAGGAGCTGTCACAACTGCCTAGTTAACGGACCTGAAGTTCCAACACCCGAACCAACTCGGGAGGCAAATAAACGCTTGTGTTCAGCACAGGAGAACCTGATTCTCGGCGACAGCAGGGCGGGGTGGGGCGGGGACGGTGGTGATGGATGAGGAACTCCTCGATCAGTAGTATAATCACATGCTCAGAAAATTCACTTTCAAAATTAAATTTGTCAAGGCAAGGGACTGTTTCCTATTTATTTTGTATCCCATATTTCCTACCTAGTTTTGTATCCTGAGTAACTAGCATAATGCCTGGGACTCAGTAGGTGGTAAATTATTATTTTTTTTTAGATTGCATTTTTGCTACTTGCTTTTTTGAGGTCACCATGAAATTTTTAGAAAACCACCTGTTTGACTGTGATGCAAAGGTAAACCGCAGCTCTGCACTGGGATAATGTTTGAATTCGAATAGTCCAAAATAAATCCAAATTAAGCTTTACTATAAATATTAAACTACTTAACAGCCCTAGTTTCAGTATACTAATGGGGCTTTTACATCTATTTTAAGGAAGACAGAGCATAAATTCTTTAGGTAAATTAGGTTAGAAGGGAAATTCAAACCAGGCCCTACAGACATCCAATAAATGCAAAGGGTGTGTCAAGGAAGGGCAGGTTTACATCTTCACAAGGTTCAGTCAATTTTGCTTCTCATCAATTTAAGGGGAAAAAAAAGAGGAATTCCTGGACATTTCTGGGAGAGGTAAAATCTTAAAACTCAAGACCTATAAGCATGACACAATCTCTCAGCATGAAGCTCTAGGTAAGTTTAATGTTATTTTTTTCTTTTCCAATCAACCCTCTAAAACCTAACAATACATTTGAGTTGTATTTATGGCTGTCCTCATGCTGGGCCGCATGCCTGGACCAAAGGAATATTTAGCAATGGTAAATGCCCAGGAAAACACTTTGGAAGAATCCAACTTTCAATTTTGGTTATATAAACTATGGTGAACATCACATTAAGCAAACATATATTAAGAAGGAACATTTTAATTTTTGGAGGCTTAATGTTTAAATGACACATAGGATAGCACAGTCAAAATATTCAGAAGGATGAACTTTAGTTAAGAAAGAAGAAACTGGAAAGCATGGCTGAAAGAGGATAAAAAATTGCCCGAAGGAATCTACTACTGGGTACATGTCAGGGATTATATAAGAGCTCTTCTCTTCTTTGAATATAAATGTATTCAATAGTGGGAACACTGTTTATGTCGAAGCTACAAATGCTCCTTTGTCCAAGGAAGTTTCCATCTAATAAATGGTCAAGTTATAAACTTTGTTTCTGTTGTGCTAAGCACATCTCATACTCTACACCTTGGATGAAAAAAAGGGAAAGGGGCTATCAGATTTAAGGTAGGAGCAATGAACTTCAGTTCTGAGTAGAAGGAGGCACAATTTCAATTACAGAAATACACTGGAGAGAGACTGGATCATCTCAAATGCCTTGCCAGGGTTTGTAAATATTATTTAAAAAGATAACTTAAAATTCACATTTCAACTTTTACAGTGTACCCCTAAATACTAAGCAGATATTTTTATTGCCAAAAAGCTAGTGGGAGGAAAAATCCAAAGAAGGAGAGAAAGAAAAGACTTTCGCCATTACAGTGGCAAGAAAATACAGGTTGAATATCCCTTATCAAAATGCCTGGAGCCAGAAGTGTTTCAGATTTCAGATGTTTTCAGATTTTGGAATATCTGTATTACATACTTACCAGTGGAGCTGCCCTAGTCTGAACATCCAAAATAAAAAATGCTCCAGTGACCCCTTCCCTATGAGCATCACGTCAGCACTCAAAGAGTTGCTTATTTTGGAGGATTCTGGATTTCAAATTAGGGATACTCAGCCTGTATTCCTTTCTATGCCTCTCTTTACTAAAACAAAACGTTATCAACAAGTTAAACAGATTTTGAATCAAAATGTGAAACTTGGTAACTGCTCCTAAGTGAAATTTCCAACCTAAAAAGTCTCTCCTAAGTCAAAATTTCACTGAAAACCAAAAAAATTATTATACTTTAAATAAGCATTTATTTGCGCGCAGCCAGGGAACACTATAAACTATCATTTTAATTCATCACCCATCTCTATTTTTCACGTCAGTGCTGTTTGCTGGTCTTATAATAGTGCCTTAGAAGATTATACAATTGTTCTTTCAGGGTCCACCTCAAGTAGGATCTGCTGCTAAAACACTCACAAATTTATGGCCTCTTTCTTTATCTTCCATTGACTGATGTGTATCATAACCTAAGAAGCCATGAAGAAATGCTCAGATAAAAGAGCTACAGAAAGTAAAAAAGAAATAAAAATTAAAACTAAAAAGATTTTAAAGGTAAAATCGGCTTGTGATGACTTAATCATAGTGTGACATACTCTGAATTCAGGATTTTACTCTTCTTTAGAATATGGAAATTATAATATTCAGATTTATAACTTTATAATTAAAATTCACCCCTTTGCAGGATGAATTTAAATTCTACAAGTATGTAATCCCTTAATTATCACCATATGTCATTCTTCAATGGGTTGATTAGCATGTGGCACTCTGAGAACAAAACTGCGGGTTCAAGTTTCCACACAGAGCAGCTTTGTCTATCTTACTGTCAATAGAGAAATCCACACACTACTAGAGAAGCAACTTGGAGATACCGCTTTGGAGTCAGAATTCCAACTTGTCCACTATTATCCTTGCAAATCTGGGTCAGTTACTCAAGCATTCTGAGCCCGAGTTTGCTTGTCTGTACCATGCAGATAATTCACAGGCATCACCCGGAGGTAAGTATTAACTGAAGTCGGTGCAAGGTGTTTGTAAATTACTGACAGCAGGGCCACGCGTGTAGCAGGCCCTTGACAGGTCTGGGCAGGTATTAAGGGCTGCCCTGCAGTCTGAGGTCAGAGCAGGGCACGAGACGCAGAATGATTTGCAGAGCTGAGAAAGAGCTGTCTAGGCACAGGCTGCTTCTCAGTCTCCCTCTGACTTTACACGCTGTAACATGCGAGGGCAGCCGGGATCCTGGGAGGCTCTGGTCTATATTAAACATTCTCACACATGCTTTTTTTTTTTTGCAAGGGAGGTGACTTTTGTTTTAATCCCTTCCAAAAATAGCCTTCCAACCTAGAAATGTGAATATTGTTGCCTTAAAATAGGAAGCCGTTAGCATATTGCCCTTGGAACATGGAGTGAATTGATTTCACTTCTTACCTTTTCGATTTTTTCATCCAGCATTCTGAAGAATTCTTGTTGGCTTTCAGAGATGTGCATGCTGAAAGACAAAGGAAGCAGTTGAGTGCATACCTCAGTGCTTTCTTAAACCTGGCTCCCTCATATGAAAAATGCTGAGTCTCTAAACTTTGGGGCAGACATTTATTTACTGCCGATTTTTCCACTGAAATACTCTGAAGTTATATTAAGGATAAACGTCATCACAGTAATCCTGCAAACGTGTTTCATAACAGTCTATTAGAGCCGATGACTTAAGGAACACAATTTCCTTTCAGTGTACAGGTGCAATTTACAGTGATGGGACTGGGAGCTGCATGCCAAATTTTTCTTCAGATACTCATTTGTGATTTAAAAAAAAAAAAAAAAAGCACGGGCAAGCAGCATATGGCACATCTCAACCCTGCCTGTAACATACAACAGAAAACGCGTCCTCGTTATTGTATGGAAATGTGTATTTTACAAAGGTTGTCAGCCTGGGCGCGGTACGCAGCTGGCTGTCCAGGTGCGGGCTGGTGGCAAACAGGCTGGCATTGCCCCCGAACGCTTTCTGCACCGGCAGCAGCAAATGCACCTGTCTGGAACTGAAATCCCACTGGAATGAGGGAGCACGTCAGGAAACGCGTCTGGGGAGCACCTGCCCTGTCTTTCTGCTTGTCCTGTGCCACCGCCAGCCTGCTGGGGAGAGGGCTGGCGTGGTTGGTGGGGGCGAAACATAAGAAGGGAAAGAAGGCAGAGACCAATCGCAGATGGGACGAGCATGGGGCAGTATGGGCCCCAGTAGTGACACAGTCTCACGACGGTCGTTTCTACCCAGCAAACAGCGTGGGTGCTCCAAGGAGGGCAAGCCTGATGAGCGAGAGACACCACACAGGGTTCCTTTCTGTCAGTGTCCACTGGCTCTTTCTGCGGGTGGGGTTGGAGGACGGCTCTGGAATGGCTTCAAGTCTCAGTGTGATGAGACCATGTGACAACCCCTTAGCCAGACGCCTCATGCTTTAAGGGCCCCCAGGGAGGGGCATGAGTGACCTGAAACCTTTCAGTCTTCCCGTGACAGATAGAGGAGGTTCTCCCTGTGTATACAACCAAAATTTCGAGTCTATGAGCACAATGACATCATCAGCTCTGAGAGAAAAAAACCCATGAAGTAAATATCTGATACCACTAATCAGCTTTCACAGCTAACAAAGCACTTTCACACATGCCGTGCTATTTTGCTGTCCTCTAGATGATCACTTAAAGAAGGAAAACACTCTGTTTTAAAAACAGGCCCTCATTTATGGCAGGTTGGGAGGGCAAGGCAGACCTGGGATGACTGAATACATTAAACTCTCTCTTCTCTGCGGAATGCTGGACAGAAAATCCATTTTGCAAAGCTGAGTTTTCCCAGATTCCTCATGGTTTTACTTACTTGGGCACCAAAACATTTTTTATTTGAGCCACTTGGGATTCAAATCTTTCTAAACTGCATACTCTTATGATAGAGGAGCTTTCACCAATATTATTTAAAACTTTCACTTCATAACTAGGGGCCATTCCCACGATCTTAGATTGCAATGTTCTTCTGTAGTACTGTGACAGCCAGCGCCACGAAGACGGGCAGGGCTGGCGCTCTCTGAGCAAAACGTCCTCAATCCAGAGCCCGCGGTTGAAGCTTCTCTCTCATCTCTCCTCGCCAGAGTGGCCTCAGTCCTCTGCCAGCTCTCTTCCCAGTTGCTGCTTCTATGTCATGCTTGGGAATAGCAGAGCCAGCACGTCTGTTAGCGCCGTGCCTAAAGTTAGCACGCAGACTCCCAGGAGAGCCTGTGGGTGCAGATCGTGAACACGCTGCCACCCGTTTCTGCTGCTCACGCACCTTTCGGGCGTCTTCCCTGTTCTCGGCCAAGCTCTCAACAGATGGGGTCCCGGACAGCTCTAGCTCCCGGACAGGAAAGGCAAGAAGATACATAGATACCTTAATATAGACAACTAGATAGATACACTGTGTGTATATGTAGTTGCCCTAGACTATCCGTTAATTCAGTGGCAAAATGCTCACTGCTTACATTCATGCAATTCATGACCCCTCAAGAGGCGGCACGGTTTGTTGGCCTGGGTGACATGCAGGGCCTCAGAGTCCTCACCTGTAGAGCCAGCGGGCTGCCCTCTGCGGTCCCTTCTGCCGCCAGCAGGCTATGGTTGATATTAACTACCACTGACTCTTTTATTTAGATACCGTAACATGAAAACAGCAATGTTTGGTCAGTGCTCACACATATGCACATTAGAGGGACAAGAGGTAAAGTTTGAAGTATTAGTAAGAGCAACTCTGCACACGTGTCTGCATCTCTGTGATCAAGAGTGCACGTACTGCAGGCTCGGGGCCTGTCGGGAGCTTGAGACCAAGAGTGACGGCCAGGGGCCAGGATGCATATAAGGCGAAGCAAGCACAGAGCTCCTGTGGTTCCAGGTTTGCACTGCCCCGTGACACAGAAATGCTGCCTGCTGTTTCTGCCTCTCAGAGCGTCAGAACAGCCCTGCCTGCCCTTGCTGCCTTTCATAACCCTCCGAGAGTCACACCCCAGCCTGGGCCATTCTCTTGCCATCTTGAAAGGCAGTCCACGCATGGATTGTGTTAGATGGAAAAAGACCGACTAGAAGGATGAGCCGTTCTGGTCGAAGCCTGATGCACAGGAAGCGCCTTCAGGGAATCTGTTGCCACCGGAAGTGTGGCAGCCGCGGCCAGGGGAGCAAGTGCCCTCGGGAGACGCCAGTCACCCGTGTGTCCTCTCAGGTCTGGGGTGATCTGAGAGCATGACACTCACTCCCGTTCTTCATGGGTTAGTTTCAGAGAGAAGCACAGAGATCTCTTCACCAGGAGCAGAGACAGGATCTTTACTCTAAGGAAATAAATCACACCCCTCAGCTGATTCCCGCCTGGATGAGCCTGGACCCCTCTTCCCAGGTGGAACCCTATTGACACAGCGGCATCAATGGGAGTGTTTACCTTCAAAAGGACAAGCAGCGCTGCGAGAAACTGTCCTCGGGTAATGGCTAGATTCTTAGATCCTTTCTGGGGCCCAATTTGGTGACTGTGGATGGGAGAGAGAGGAGGAGGGCAGGCTCACTGGCTTTCCGTCTTTCCTCACGGTATTAGAAAGGGATCACGGAATGGTTTACCACTTAAGTTTATGAGGATGATTACCTGATGCTAAGACCCACTAGCATTCATTCAGGAAGGCCTGTACACTGGTGCCTAGCTTAATGAACGGAGCTCAGCAATTTCAGTTTTTCCTATTTCTCTCTAATAACTCAAACGCAGCCTTGGGAAACGGAATGTTCCACTGGAGCCCTTCTGCTGGCCTCTGGTTCGCGCTGGCAGAGCCCCCGTGAGCTGACCCTGCCCCGCAAACGCCACTCTTCCTGTGACCGCTCAGCTTTGAGACCAGGGATGACGACACTATGGAATGTTAACGCAAAGCGAACCAATGAATGAACGGTGGGCAACACGGGCGTTAGAGCTAAAAGATGCAGGGCTTTCGCTTTTAGAGCCTTAAAAAAAAATAAAGTTTCCAAATAATAAAAACCTAAGCACGAAAATAGGAGGAGGCAAAGTCCTAATTCCCTAATATTTTACCTATAAAGGATGGCAGAATATGCCACCCCCAAATCACTTTGGCATAAGGATTATTTTGAATTAAAGGCAACTGTAAAATAGCAGGAATAGGAAGGGCACTCTTGACCCTCTTTTTCTCCAGAAGGTGGGAGACACACCTCCTGTGTACGTGGTGCCCTGTCTACAAAGAAGGAAAGAGACGTTCTTAGCACCTGAGACAGGGAGTCGGAGCCAGAGGAATTCTGTGCGAACAGACCTTGTAATAACTCTCACCTTCCTTTGGTCTCCCCATATATTTTAGGTGGCTTTCCACAATTGTCTCTCTTTGTTCAACATGTTATAAAAGCATGTGGGTTTTGTCACTTCTTTGGGTCTTTTCCTGGGGGGCTCCCATGTACACGTCAAAGTCTGTATGCTTTTCTCCTGTTCATTTGTCTTAGGTCAATTTAATTCTCAGGCCTAGACAGAAACCCCGAGAGGGCAGAGGTAAAGTTTTGCCTCCCTACACTTGCAAAAGTGAAATTCAGTTACCCAGTGGGTTCTTGGTAAACCTTGGCCTGGACACAGACCCCAGTTATTCTTTATGATCATTATTATTTTTCACTTGGACCTCGGGGGAAGTAGATTTATCCTAATCCTTATTTTGTGACAGACTCCTCCTAGTAGCTCACGCATAGCTTACTTTTATTTATTTCACTAATTATTTTGTTTTTTAAAAAACAGTATAATAAGCACCCATGAAATCAAATCAAAAGCAGGGCCTCTATGTGTGCCTTTAAAAAGCAGTTATTTATTTTGGGTGTTTTCAACTTTGTATTTTTTTAAGCACTAAGTGAGTTTTATTGAGGAGAGAAAGGTAGGATTATAGAGCAGGAACAAGATATAGGTTTACAGAGTTAGAGCAAGATACGTTCGCCACAGAACAACAAACAGGCTCCTTGTTGTACCAAAAAAAAGCATGTTTTCAACTTCATAAAGAGTTCATCACACTCTTTGTAATCTTTCAGGACTTACTCTTTCCTTCTAATGTTATATTGCTAGTGCCTACCTGGCACTGTGCATTGCTGCCGTACACTTGTACAGACGGCTAACAACTATTCCACTGAGTGAATGTGGTGGAGTTCATTTACCCAAGCTCTTGTTAAAGGGCATTTGGGTTGTTAATTATTAAGACACTCTCATCAAGTGCCAGACAATGCGATAAGCACTGAGCACACATTATTGCATTTATTCCCCAGCTCTGTAAGGCAGGATTTTTTAACTTCCATTTTTCACTGAGCAAAATGAAACACAAAGACATTAGGTCACTTGCCTGAGATCACAATGCCAGCAGAATGTGCTCTACGTGTAGCATCTAAGGACAGTGGATTATCTGCCTTTATGGTATGGGATTGTCCTTCTACTCATGGGGAAAAAAGAATTCTCATCTTATTTTATACCTCTGTATAGTAAGTGATGGTTGCCTTGATCCTGTATGTCAGCAAGGAGGAAAAGCAAAATTCTTCTCCTGGCCCTCCAGAAAGATTTCTTAATTGAATTCCAAGCATCTAAGGTTCTGATTCACAGTTTAAAATAAACACACACACACACACACACACACACACACAAGCAGGCATGCTGCTATGTGGAAAACAGAGAATCTTCTTCACAATTTTAATATAAACACATGACCCAATTGAATAAACTTCTCTGAAAGCTTCAGCCCATGCCAGTTAGTGAGGTGTGCTGCTTCTGGGTGTGCAAGTTAAGTAAGTATTTTTTCTTACAGAAAAGAAAAATTCTCCTCCATTTAATCTCCCCTTATAATTCACAGATAAGGGAAGCATTTAAACACAGCATATTTGACATGGCTTGGATGAAAAGGCAATTTGGCTGTACCAGGTATCTGTTGTCCCCAAAAGTAGATAAAGTGGATGAAAGTGACCAGCAGTGAAGAGGACTAGGAAGATTGTGGTAATAGCACAACATTGACCTAAGGGTGAAAAAATTGGACGCATCATTGCACTGACGTTGTAAATGGTAAGTGGATTTCAAAGTGTCCAGTTTTCTCTGAAAGTAGCAACTAAATCACTGAACCTATTACCTGCCCCTGCGGCGTCCTAACTGCCATGCCATAGAGACCATTCCACTGACACTGAGCCAGGCTAAAGTGATTATCAAGTAGGTTATTTTTGTCTCAGTTTTCTGGAAGAGCCAGAGATAACAAAACTTCTTATGCTTATGATTTTGACTTATGGGGCTATTAATACATATATGCAATAGTCCAATTTATTTTGGGGTGGGGGATGACAGTGTCAAAGGTACCAGCGTCATTGGTACCCTCAGAGAATTTGTGTGCATTTAGGTGGACGCCACAATAGACATTTGTGGCCCCTGGGATAACAGAGCCTCTGTGAAAAAAGGAAAGGATAACTTCAAATTCACACAAAGTACATTTTATTGTCAAGGTAGAGTCAGTCCTAGAACAAGCTAGAAAACTACTCATTATTGTTTTTAACTTTTTAAAATGCGTTCACTTTTTATTTATTTATTTTTTCTTTTTTTTTTTTCATTTTGCGTTCACTTTTTAAATAAAATGTTCACGGATGGTCATCTATTGGTAATCAGCAATGATATTTTTAAGTCCCTACTACAAGTGAGGAAATGCACTAGGTACTATATACATTCTCATGTGATACAAATCTTTTTTTGTCCAAGTTAAGAACTTTTTTATTTTTTCTTATTTTCTTTTAAACTTTCCAGTTGTAAAAAATGTAACACATAGAAAACATATAATGTTATTTGTACCTTTTTGAATAATGATAATAGAAGGAACGCATTTGTAATTACCACCCAGATTAAGAAATAGAGCCTCTGGTGTCATTATCTTCCATCTGGTCAGAAAGAACCACTATTCTGAATTCAATGCTTTTTCATTTCCTTGCTTTCCTTTATTGTTTTCCTGTTAACTTATGCACGACACATTGCTCAGTTCTGCTGCGCTAGGAATGTAGGCACACAGTGCCACTCACCCTGTGGCCTCACCGTCACATTCATGAGACCCCTCCCTCCTGACATGTGAAGCTATAGGGCACCCATTTTCACTGACCTGCAGCATTCCCATCATGGGAAGATGCCACAGCTTTGTCATCTATTATACTTTTGATGGACATTTTTTTGGGTTTTACTTTCAAGAGTGCTAAGAATGCATGTAAACAATGCTGCTAGGGACATTTCAAAAATATGTCTCCTGGTACAAACGTTACAAGAGTTTCTCAAGGGTATATGCCTGAGTGGACATGCTGGGATACAGTGTGCCTAGGTTCAGTTCTACTTGATAATGCAAGTTATTTTCCAAATTGTACCCGTTTATAGTCCCACCAGCAGCGGGTAAGAGTGTCTGTTGTTCCACATCCTGGTCAACCTTTTGTGCTGTCAGAATTCTAAATCTCTGCTGGTCTGGTGGTGTGAAATGGCATTTTTTCCCATATATATTAGCCATTCATGTTTCCTCTTCAATCAAATAGGGGATTATATGTTTGGCCAGTTTTTCTATGGGTTCCCTTCTTTTACCTAGTGATTCATAGAATTACTTTATATATGCTCAAAACCCAACTACTGTCAATTATATGTATTATAAATATCTTCCCCCATTTTATGGTCTTTTACTCTCTTATGGAGTTCTTAATTTTTTTTTTTTTTGTGAGACAGAGTCTCGCTTTGTTGTCCAGGCTAGAGTGAGTGCCGTGGCGTCAGCCTAGCTCACAGCAACCTCACACTCCTGGGCTCGAGCGATCCTTCTGCCTCAGCCTCCCGAGTAGCTGGGACTACAGGCATGTGCCACCATGCCCGGCTAATTTTTTATATACATATCAGTTGGCCAATTAATTTATTTCTATTTATAGTAGAGACGGGGTCTCGCTCTTGCTCAGGCTGGTTTTGAACTCCCTGACCTTGAGCAATCCGCCCGCCTTGGCCTCCCAGAGAGCTAGGATTACAGGCGTGAGCCACCACGCCCGGCCTGGAGTTCTTAATTTTAAGCAGTCATATTAATTAATAATTTCCCTTAAGATCTGCATCCTTTGTGTCTTCCCTACCCCATGGTCACAGTGACAGTCCTCATTTTCTTCTAATTGGCCTGCAGAGGCAGCTCTGCCATGTATTGCATCTGCCTTCTTTATTCTGTTGTTACACCAGGCCACACTGCCTCAATTACTAAATAAGTCTGCGTTATCTTGTATGCAAAATGGAACCCACTCTGAAAACATTTTAACCTTTGAAAACAATACAATTGTCCCTCAGGATCGGTGGGGGACTGGTTCCTCGACACCCCTGCAGATACCAAAGTCTGCAGATGCTCAAGTCCCTGATATAAAATGGTGTAGTGTTTGCATATAACCCCCCCTACACACACACATCTGCCCCATGTACATTAAATCATTTCTAGATTACTTATAATAGCAATACAATGTCTATACACTGCTTCATTCATAGGGATTCAACATAGTACTGGGCATGTGGCAAATTCAAGTTTTGCTATTTGGAGCTTTGTGGAATTATTATTTTTTTCCTGAATATTTTTGATCCACAGTTGGTTAAACACACAGAGGCTGAATCCACGGATATATGGAGGGCTGACCGTACAAGGAAAACAGGAACTAGAACTTACTTTGCTCTGGGTTGATGAACTAATCCCGGAACCTCTTTATTAGTTTTAAGTCTTACATTTGAGCTGGCACTTTTTTCCTGAAACACATAAACACACACATGTAAAAGGCAAGATTAGAATCCACAATGAAATAATAGCATGAGTTTTCATCACAGAAATGTTAGATCTGTTTGGGGCCCTATAGCACAGCTGGTCACCTCACAAGGACGTGAGTCCTGGCAGAGAAGTTACACAGGACAGGTAGAACCTATTAAACATTTGCACTTGGGACATTGTTATGAAAAGAGGAATCAGCTTTGTAACAGCTATGACTCTGTTTAGAAAACAATGTGTAGTTAATATTTAATTCTTTAACTCTAATAGTAACTCTAATCAAAGAACAGAGGATGTAGTGTCAAAAGGAGTAGCAGCAGTACAATTGAAGCCACTGTGTACTTGCCCAGGTTCAATGACTGCTGTGTATTTTATTTGTAAAAGACAAACTGTAGCGACTGAGACATAGTTTACTCAAGACCCTACCTGTGATAGGGACAGGAACATGACTAAAAATAATGACTATTTGCAGTCCACAATAAATACTGGGATTGAATTCCATTGGATTAATAAAATTCAATACTAGCCTGTATTCAAGAAACACTTCTTTCTGGCTTTTAGCCTGACCCAATTTCTTATTCCCAATATACTAGCCATGTGAGAAAAAAATACTCTCATGTCTTCAAATGCCAGTATATTTGTAAGGACACTATCCCAATACTACTAAGTGTTCTGTGTTTTCACAGCATTATCTTTAAAAAGATATTCAAGGCGCCTTATAATTTGCTCATAAAACATATCCCTAAACTGAAAGGGAAGATCCTTCTAAACCTATTTAATAGGTGACTATATACACTCAAGGAACTTGAAGTGTGGCCATGATTAAAGACCAAGTCTAAGGCAAGGAATAAAAACTGCTGTGGGCCAACCCAACATTCTCACCACAGCAGAGTGATGTGGGATGACACAGAAAACGGTCCCCACAGGAGCTCTTTTGAGTTCATATTTCTCCTAGGACAGCAGAAGCCATTTAAGTCAGTGAAACTATGATTTACATGCTCTGGTTGATCCTTATTAACTATCAAACCTCAGCTCATCTGCATTACATTAGTGCTCTAACAAACACAGTAATTTTGTTTGTGTTCTTCTAGGAAAAGGAACAATCATAATTCTCTTGCAGATTATTGTATCTTCCTTACCTTATACTAAACTTAAGAATGTTTTCATGAGCATTTAAGAAGTGTAAAATATATACTGTTTGGGCCGGGTGTGGTGGCTCAGGCCTGTAATCCTAGCATTCTGGGAGGCCGAGATGGGTGGATCATTTGAGCTCAGGAGTTCAAGACCAGCCTGAGCAGGAGCAAGACCCTGTCTCTACTAAAACTAGAAAGAAATTACTTGGACAACTAAAAATATATAGAAAAAATGAGCCAGGCATGGTGGCGCATGCCTATAGTCCCAGCTACTTGGGGAATTAAGGCACAATCACTTGAGCCCAGGAGTTTGAGGTTGCTGTGAGCTAGGCTGATGCCACGGCACTCTAGCCTGGACAACAGAAGTGAGACTCGGTCTCAAAAAAAAAATTATATATATATATAATTTATATTTATATAAATCATATACATAAATTATATAGATATATATTTACATATTTAATATAAAATATTTATTATATAAATATAATAAAACATATAAATATTAATATATTAAATATATAAATATTTAATATAAATAAATATATTTTATATATATAAAAATTTTTTTTGAGACTGTTTTGTCTGCTAGTGAAGTCAGGGAATAGCAGACAAACCGTCTTATCTTTCACAAAGCAGGTGGGAGAAATTAGAAAACTTTAATGCGGCAGCTCCAGGAGGGCAGGGCCCACATCCTCTTTTTACCACGGGGTCCATGGGGCAAAGGGCTGGGCACTTCGTGGGAGGCACTTGGCAAATATTGGTGAATGAATAAACAATGTCAACAAGTGAATGGTTTCTCTTTGGAAGTTAGAGGTAAAAATGGCACAAACGTAGTCTCTCTGCAGGATTGAAGATATAAAGTTCCTTCCAAGTTGGTCCTTTTCTACTTCAAACTTTATGTCTTCTTAGATTAAACACTGAGAATGGACATATATGATGTGACAAAACCTCATCCCTTTTCTCTATTCACATAATTTCCCAAACTCTTTGAGCTTAAAATGATAGGCTATAATTTTAGGCATTTCTGAGGCAGGAAATTGATTTCTAATTCTATGAATACAAATGATAGACAATGGCAGGTTGTTTCTATTTAATTTATTAAACTGTACCCTTCGAAAGTATATTGCCTCACCAAATCTTTCTTAACCCATTCTTGTTTGCTAAGTAAAGAATGAATCCCCAAACAACAGAGCCTCAGTGGACGGGCAGGAGAGAGGGAGGGAGCCCTTGGCAGTACGTCACTCAGGTGTGGACTTCCGGCCAACAGTGAGGCCGAGGCAAAAGGAGCAAGAGCAGTTCAGATTTCCCAGTCTAAATACATAATTACAAAAATCTGTCTATCATGCGTTTATAATGTGTTTGTTCTTTTTTTATAAATTACCACTCACTAAGACCAATACCAACTCACTGATCACTTACTCTAAGTCATGTGCTATTCTAAGCAGTTTACATAAATTAATTCACTTTAATGTTCAAAAGTATCTATATATATTAACTCGCTTTTATGCCTATAATACCTCTGTGAGATAAGTACCATTTTTATCCCCATTTTATAGATGAGGAAGGAGAGGCAGAGGGAGGTGAAGTCCTTACCTGAGACCATTCAAGTAATAAGTGGTAACACTGGGATTTGAAACCAAGCAGTTTGGCTCCAAAGTCCATGTTATTAGCCTCTACCCCAGTATTTCTCAGACTTTAGTATCACGACCTTTTTACCTATATTCTCCAAATTTTGGACAATTTCATTCTATAATATGAAGAAAATCACATTTGTTAAATTCACCATCCATCTTACCAGAAAACTCTTGACTGAAGCTATCAATCTCATGATGGGAGGTAAAACTTTGCAAAATTCTAGTTTTTTGTGTAAAGCTTGAATTTTATCACTGGCAACAAATATTATTGTCTATTATTTCCCTAAAAGTAACAGGCTCCCTTCATTCTTTTTTTAAGAAAATGATTTGCCAAATACTAGGCCTGACTATCTATAATATACCTGCCAGGTTTTTGGTTTTGTTTTTTCTTAAGTAGAAATAGTGTTCCATAAAAAACAACTGCTACTTCAGCTTGCAATTTGATCAGCTGCAGAAGTGCTTTTCCTTGTGATAACCGTTTTACTCGGGTATGCAGAATAAATGCTTTATGTAGACTTCCCATTTCATCACATAGATGATTAAAAAGATATGCAACCAAGACACAAGATTTAATGAAATGAAATAATTTTCACTGCTTCATCAAAGGTCTTCGTAAGTGAAAATGGAATTTATTTTTCTACTATGAGTCCATAGTGGTAGAGAATTTGACAACTACCAGTAGGGTTTGATGCTAATGCCTTGATTTAGGCGAAGGCACAAGCAGTTTAACCTGCCGTTGCTCTTGCACCATCAGTGCAAATGTCAACACAGTGAAAAAGGCCAGTAGCTTCCTAGTATTTAATATTATTAGGAAAATGACTCCAAGAACTCCCTGAGGAGGTCTCAGGGACTTCCACAGGTCTGCAGACCAAACTTTGACTATGGTGCCTGTCTTTCTTGCATGGAAAAGAACTACTGATTATTTAATTATGTCATATGCTATATTTAAAAAAATATTTGATAGCCATTTATAGAGGTAAAGTTTACATTCTATCAAATTCCATTATATTAATAACTATATTATTAAATGATGTTAGTAAATATATAGAGCCATGCAATCATCACCACAAGCCAGTTTTAACATAGTGTCGTCCTAAAAAGTTTCCTTATAACCATTTGCAGTTAATCCCTGTTCTGATCTGTAGCCCTGGCAACCACAGATCTGCTTTCTGTCTCTAGAAATTTGCCTTTTCTAGATTCTTATAAGTGGAATCACATAATATGTAGCCTTTTGTGTCTGGCATTTTTCACTTGGCATAATGTTTTTAAGGTTCGTCCATGTTGTAGCATATAACAGTATTTCATTAATTTTCATTGCTAAATAATACCCCAATGCATGGATATACATTTTATTTATCCATTCACCACTTCATGGACATTCGCTTGTTTTTAGTTTGTGGCTATTATGAATAATGATGCTTTGAACATTCACATATAAGTCTTTTTGTGTGGACATATGTTTTTATGTCTCTTAGGCAGGTTCCTAGGAGTGGAATTGCTAGATTATATGATAACTTTAAGTTGCACTATTAAAGACATTGCAAATTGTTTTCCAAGGTGGCTGTGCTGTCTTGCATGGCAAATGCATGATGGTTCCAGTTCCTCCACATCCCCCTACCAACACTTGGTATTGTCTTTTTTTCAATTATTGCCATTCTAGTGGGTGTGTAGTGGTGTCTCATTGTGGGTTTCATTTATTTTAAAAACATAACTTTTTAAAGGCTTGTTTGTATTTATTTACTTATTTTTATTTCAGCATACCATGGGGGTATAAATGTTTAGGTTACGTATATTGCCTTTACAACACCCCAGTCAGAGCTTCAAGCATGTCATTCCCCAGATGGTGCACACTGCACCCATTAGCTGTGAATATATCCATCCCCTCCTCCCCCCTCCTACCTGCCAACACCCGATGAATGTTACTACTGTATGTGCATTTAAGTGTTGGTCCATTAAGTCAGTTAATACCAATTTGATGGCGAGTACATATGATGCTTGTTTTTCCATTCTTGTGATATTTCACTTAGTAGAATGAGCTTCAACTTTATCCAGTATAATACAAGAGGTGCTAGATGACCACTGTTTTTTGTGGCTCAGAAGAACTCCATGCTATATGCATATCACATTTCATTAATCCATTTATGTATTGATGGGCACTTGGGTTGTTTCCACATCTCTGCAATTGTGCTGCTATAAATATTCTAGTGCAGATGT